ACAGACTTTGAAAGTTGTATTTACTATTGTGATAAATTGATAATACATATTATTTTGGTAATGACATGATTTATGTAAATGTCATTACTTATGATAAAAAGCTGATAAGTTTCTTTCGCTTGTTCTTCTTGTCAGCTAAAAGACGTCCTGAACAAGTGGTAGGGGAAAAAAGTTTTTTTGGACGATTCAAAAGTGCTTGTAATAGCCTACTTGAATAAAGATATTTTCATTTCATTTCATTTCTTTGTGTTGACATTCTAATATCACTATATATATATATATATATATATATATATATATATATATATATATATATATATATATATGTTACATTTTACCGAAACTTGCCAGCCGAAATTCATCACATAAATTTTCGGCTAATCTCTCTTGTTAGAAATAAAACTGCATTATCTCATCTGCCAACACAAGCATTAAAAAACTACTATCAATACTTATTACCAGGTTTTACAATCGCTATCACCACTAGTGAAGCACGGAGGATGTATTGCATGGGCATGCGCCGGCGCAGCGGAGGGCAGCTTCCGAAGCACGGCTGACGCATTCGACGCTGTACTCGAAGCCAACTTACGTCGTATTGCACAGATGTAAGAATACCTTTTCATTTACCTCTTGAGCATGGTGCAGTATGCAAAAACATACATATTTGGAAACCCCATCGTGTCATTTCATAAGTGTGTCTGGCTTTAACTGGTCTAAGTATTTATTTCCTTTTGGTTTTTCCTACACATCAGAATTAGTGTGCCACATTTTCTAGTGGTATTCAAAATAATCTAAGCAGAGACCAACTACATTCAAGTTTGGTTTGCCTTTTCATATTTCATGTCATGTGTACTCGTATGTACCCCTAGGCTCAGCCTGTTGAGTGAACTCTAGCAAATGTTAGCATAAATGCGACAGATTTATTTGCCAACCCATCCTTGTATGTACCATATCAGTATCTTTGTTCCTTCAAGCCGGAACCAGCCATATAGTTACGATGGTCGCATCATGATACATGTCATGGTCTGAGTGCAATATGACATTTGAAATGTGTTGTGCTCCAATGACAAACAAAATATCGTGTTCTCAAACTAGCCCGCTGTCTTGTTATTTATTACGTCCGACCAGTTTAATATACATAGGTATCGCAATCTGTAGGTAAAAAATACTGTAGGTAAAACAACAACAGTCGAGGGCAACGGCGCTTATCCACTACGCCACCGATCTACTCCGAGCTACTACCAACCGGTCTAGACCGATGCAATTATAGTCGAAACTGCACAATTCTATATTGTTTACATAGCTCTCAATTTGATGATAGTGGAGCGCGACATGTGTCAAGCATACTTACTCGTACGAATTACCCTAACTGAAGGACTATTCTATTTCTGCGAAAACGAAGTTCTATATTCGAGATGCTAATACGACTCCAAAGAAACGCATTTTTCGTTAATTTATATTGCGTCGGACGGAGGAACCTGTCACACCTTTGATGGACTGATAATCTTAACAAATTAAGATTTTAACGAAATTATAAGAACGATTCGTAATTTTCATTGAAGGGCAAACAGAACAGGCCCTCGGGTGTATGGGTGTCATATTAATTTGTAGAAGTAGCACAAGTTATACGATTATTGTTACATATTATTTAATATTGTGGCATAAAGAATGACCGTGTCATATTATATCAGGTGTGAGTGTGAGGCGGTTTGGATGGGACGCGGCGTCAGCGTGGACCAAGCAGCAGAACGCGTCCTCAACGCGTTACTCTACAGCAATATGCGCGCTGCGACACCAGCTTCTCTATAATGTACGTCAAATTCGACATTCGTTATCAGCCGTGGTCGGAATTAGGTAGAGTTATTCATGTACTTACACTGATTGCATACAGCGAAACGAATAAGGTGGATGTGCCGCAAATTCCCGAGATTACTCGTTAGGAAGGGCATAAAGGGTCCCGGGAGATGCTCAGTAACGCGTCATATACTTTGACCTAATTGAAACGGGGGGCATGCGCGACGTTAGCCAAACTGACATCAATGACATCGGATGGCCAAAGTTGCAAACTTTGCACCTTGTAAATTCCTGTAAACTAAGAAAAAAGGGAGGTTGATTATCTTCGTTTTATATGTCTACCTGAACGCTTGCCCCTATTATTTAGCCGTAAGATAGGTTGGCCACAGGGGGACTGTCCATTAGAAATCGCGGGAAGGTCCACATGAGTATCAACAGTTCGATGCAAGGACCGTAAATAACTCGTGCGCTAGTTCCGACCTCTGCAGTGAGCAGCCTATCGGCAGAGTATTTAATGCGTAGGTGATGACCTGCAACCACGTAACAAACAAACGACGTGATACGAAAGAAATAACGAGGATCTCACAGGAGAGTCCTCTGACACATGATACCCGTCGAGCTCGTCTAATATGAAATATTTCTAAACAAAAAAAAACAATAAGCTGGTGGATTTACGAGATACCTACTTAAAAGTATACAAAGCTTGCCTCAATTTAGTCTAAAAATAAATATTACACCAACTTAAACAGACTTCAGTGTCTTTTTAAGTTGGAGGCATAAATGAGTATTGACCGCTATTATGATACCGTTAAATAAAGATTGCCGTTGATATAACACCAAAAATTAAAATTGTTTATTCATGTATATCTAATATAATACTTTTTCATAATTTCAGGAATACTGCTAACAAAATGGGAAAATATGTAGGCAGGTGGTTGAAGAATGTTACTTGACGATTTCTACTCAACCTACAAGCGAGAACGATCGTGACTATGGGATTGAATGGAATATATAAACGCCGCACATGTTACAGAGTGATTGTTAAAAAAAAAACGCCAATCATACCAAAACAGTATTTAAAATACTTTCCCTCTATTCCTGGTTAATGGGGCAGTTGTTTTATAGTATGTTTTTGTGTATGAACACAGCTTTAGATATTGAAATAAAGGAAATTTGCAAAAATCTAAATGTTGGTTTTCAAAAATATCTTTTTTTATGTTAACGCAGAGGAAATGCGCCTTACCCTTAAACCAGGGCTCCTCTTCCACCCCGCCCTTAAAAGGGCAGGTTAATGTGGAAGCCCTACCTGGTAAAACCCGCTGCGGTTTACCTCACGCGAATAGATGAGTCCGGTATCCAGCAAGGTGGGCCTGGACCCAAAAAAAAACCTCGTGTACGTGGTTTCGATCTACGGGCTTCGCCGTCAGTTAGATGTAACTCTATCCGTTACTTTTAAATCGTCTTGTAATCAAGAAATACGTCATTACACCACTCTAATCTATATTATAATATAAAGAGGAATTCTTCGATTGTTTGTTTGTATCGAATATCTACTGTAACGATATTCCGTCACTAACAAGTCACGGTTTTTTTTACATATAGTATACTAGCTTTCGCATAGGCTTCGCCCGCGTGGTCCCTAGGGAAATGTTTAGTGGGATAAAAAGTATCCAAGTACCTATTATCTAAGTCAGCTAATACCAAATTTCATCAAAATCCGTTCAGTAGTTTCGGCATGATTGACGGACAAACATCCAAATGAAGAAACTATCACATTTATAATATTAATAGGGTGATTGAGCATACCGAGGGGTGAGGGGCACTTAGTGTAAGTTTTTTTGACATTTACGTTCATCATAGATCGTTAGCGCGTTAAAATTTTAGTATGAAATCCTGAGCAGCGCCTCTAGCGGTAACTACCAAGAACTACAAATCTCCATACAAATTCTTAACGTGCTCACTAGTGAACGCGTCAAATATATCGCCGTAATTTATGCTTAAAAAATGCCTAAAATTTGTACTACCTAATGTTAAAAAGGTAGTAGGTAGTATAAATGTTAATATAAAAGATAAGAACATGGGCCTTGTGGGTGCCACAATATTTTTGGGAATAACATTAGATTCTAAACTACAGTGGGGCCCACGTATTGATAGATTGTCGAGTAGACTTAGCTCTGCAGCATAAAATATGTAGGTTAACTGACATAGATACTGCCAGATTAGTATACTTCAGTTACTTTTATAGTGTAATGTCGTACGGAATCCTATTGTGGGGAAACGATTTTTGTGCTTCAGAAAAGAGCAATTCGGTCAAATTATAATCTTAGAATTAGGGACTCTTTAAGGGAGAAATTTAAGGAAATAGACATTATGACTGTTGCTTCTCAATACATATAAGAGAACTTAATTTTGTAAAGTTAAAAATTAAGTTCTCGTATATGTTAAGTTTGTTTTCTATAAAAAGTGATGTACACAATTTTTATACAAGAAATAAAAATAAATTAACGGCGCCTGTCACTAGACTGCAAAAAGTTAATAACTCATTCAATGGTCTTTGTGCACGCTTCTAGAATAAGGTCCCAAGCAAAATACAACAATTAGATATCATGCAGTTTAAATCTACTATGAAAAAAATACTTATTAAAAAAGCTTATTATAAGGTATCCGATTATATAACAGATAAGAACGCTTGGACTTGAGATGATCCAGCAACTGGATAGGTGATTACTTCTTAACTCATTATCTTGTTTCCATTATTATTAAATGATTATGTTATCATTATAAGACCATAGTTTTTTTTTCTATCTCTGTTTATAATGTATTGATCTGGTAATGACATGGTTTTTGTAAATGTCATTACTCATATTAGAGCTGGTGAGTTTCTTGCTCGTTCTTCTTATCAGCCAAAAGACTTCCTGAACGAGTGGTAGGGAAAAAAATGTTCGGACGATTCAAAAGTACTTTTAAGAAGTCTATTTGAATAAAGATTATTTTGAATTTGACTTTGACTATGGATTACGCAAAAAATAAAAAATTACGCATTTAATATTCTTCATTGATCTACCTGACAAACAAACAAACAAAAAATTAGTCGTCATCCCTAGTCCAGATCATTGGCGTGCCTTTGTTACTACAAAATTCCACTAAACTATATTTACCTCTAGCTGAACAATGCATGTGATGATATCTAATAATGATTTAATTAAAATAATAAGGGGTATAATCAAATTTCCATAACAAATAAAACGAGTTGAAATGATGCTTTACACTAAGAAGTATATTTAATTCACATGCACAGTGAAGTGCTATTACACGTCGCCGGCGAATCGGTTATAATAAAAATCCGAATATTCGGGCAATTCTACCGGCTGGGGACGAGATACATCGCCCCTCACCACAGACCATTACACGTTACTCAAGAACATCTGCGCCCGCGCTTGAATCTTTTTCACTTTCTTCATCGCCTTAGGAGATATATTTTCGTTCTTCTTCAAACATGCGATTTGAGAGTGTAGATTTCTCACCAAATTCGTTCGCTCCTTTCTGAGAGCGCCGTCGGCCGGACGGCTGTTGACGATTCGTTTGTGGTAGAACACTAACTTGCCGACGGCCAGCGGTCGTTTCGTGGAAGGCTGCGAATGAAACTCGGGCACGACCGGAGTTTGATTCCCTTTTTGGACCGGCTGCTTTAGAACCGGCGGCACCGGAAGCGAGCGCACTAATCCGGCGGAATTCTTACGAGTCCTGTTCCTCTTTTTAGCACCGAACTGGACTTTGTTTTTTATGTGCAGCGTCTTATGTCTCTTCTTACTGCACTTGATCAACAAGTCCGCGTAGTCCTCTCGGGGTAATGGGGTGAATATGGTACGGTAGTGCATTCCTACCGCTATGCGTAAGTTCAAGGGCACGGTTTTTTTCCTGACATTGGTGATCTTCTTTTGCAGAGAATACAGCTCGCTTAGATGACCTTTGCCGCCGGCGAGACCCATCTGTCCGAGCAAAACCATGTTCAGTTTTTTCATCATACCGTTAATATTTCTTTTATTATTTAACAACTGTTCGGTACTTATGACTTTCTGATTGAGTAACTGTTCGTGACGGTTTTGGAGATAATTTAACTCTTCGTACATTGCTTCCGGGTCGCCTAGATCAGAGTTCAAAGAATCAAGAGCAGTACTAAGTTTTCTCAAAAGATCCCATTTCTTTTTGGGTATGTTTTCCGTTAGGATCTTGGTCTCTTCGTCGGTTTGTTGTACACCATCCCCACGGGTAGGTATGGTGATTTCCGTATTAGGCTTTTGTCTCGTCCACTCCCTCAGTTCTCTCTGGAAAGCTTCTTGATCGGCGACCTTCCCTTTAATGCTTAGAACTGACTCGCAATCTGAATTTTCTACAGTGACGTTAAGTTTTTCCACCGTATCCTTCAACCATTTTGCGCCGTCGTCCGATTTTATGTTTTCAACGACATCAGTGGTGACGTAAATCCTGGCTGTCGTAACGACATCGGTCGTGCCTGACACTTCGTTGTCTTGAATCATGTGCCCTTTCTTGTCGTGATTCGCGGACGAGCCGATAGGTATAAAATCGGGGGCCGGCAACACATCGTTAGGCTGTACATCTATGGTGGAGACATTCTTCGGCTTAGTGCCGTCTTCGACTATATTTTTGCCCACGGAGTTTTTCCTAGGCCTCATGTCATCATTTTTCGTTTTCTCCTCCGTAATCTCTGTGACGGTAATGTTTTTCTTTTTATTCATATGATTCTCGTGCATTGTGGGCGATTTGGATTGCCTCTTGTTTCTGTCGGGGCGGGCGTTGATCGGGGTGGCCGTTATATGTTCTTGCTGTGCCTTCGAAGTAGGATCTTGTGAATCGGGCATATATATGGGGCGATAAAACGCCACATACGGGGAGTTAATTGGTAACCCAGAGAAAGGTAAGGAAACCCGGCACGCGTGCACGAGGTGGCCGCGTCTCGTGCAGCCGCTGCAGTACAGCTGATGGCTTTTCTTCGTTTGCCAGTTTGTGACCAAAGGAGTATTGTTGTCGATCTACAATCGAGAATATTACATTATAACTGACACATATATTTTATAGTCGAGTAGCAACAATTATTTAATTAAAAGTAATAACTTAAGCATATATATTCTAACGAAGAGATGAGAAGAACTTTGAAAATTCTGATTTTAATATTATTATTATTTATTAGTCATCTCTAAAAATGCTTTAATGTTTCCGTAGATTTTATACAGAAAAAAACATTTAAAAAATGAGTCTTCTAAGATAAAAGAAAATATAATTGGAACCTCAAATATTTCGATAAAAGATTACCGAATTCATTAATTGTTTATAAATTTTAGCGAGTATCGTAATTGGATTCAATATTACGATATGTTTGAATAATAGTTTTACACATGTAATGAAACTATGTACATAAAGATCTTAATACTGTTTCAAACAAGAAAATGCAAAAAACTCAACAGTAAAATAATTCACAGCCTACATCATTATTTAAAGGCACCCGATAATGTGTCTCAATCAAATATATTTGGTTATGACAACACTTCTCGTCTACATAAACTTTATCATTCGTAAACAGAGGTCCGAAGTTATTATTGATCTAATGGCTAATTTACACGTAATTAGGTAGATAAATAGTAAGTAGATCTTCAACTTAATTTTAAGGTTATTAAGTACGTGTAAATTACTTATGAGCTTTATTGAAATCAAAATTAGAATCTGCCTATTTCAGTGAAAACGTGTGAGGCATTTTAATTTTAATATTGTAATAAAATGCGATGTACCTGCGATATACCTGCTTATCGGTAAATGTTATAAAATACATATTATGTTTACTTAGTATTTATCTAGTTAGTAACGTGTGAAGCAGCGTTAAGTGTATTCGACTGACCGTGTTGTGGTACCGCCGCCAGAGGTCGGGGCAGTGCGAGGGCGGGTGGCCGCGCTGGCCGCACTCGGCGCACGTGAGCGTCGACCACCACGCGCAGTTGCGGCACATCGTCGAGTACATGTGGTTCGGGGAACCGCACTGTATACAAACATAGAAAAGAACCATTGGTCACGTGATGTTTCTTTCAGCTTTTTTTTATCCCCACTCCCCCTTTGGTGACACATGGTGAGGTTTAACACTAACCACGTGTATTTTTAGTACCTACAAACATTTTTTTTTATTTTTGACGACGCTTTTGTTTAGTTACTGCGCGTTTGAGGTAAAAATAAATACACGTGATATATTAATGCACCCCCTCCCTCCACCCTTATATTTCGTGATTTTTGACGAACCCCTTTCTAGCCTTACGTGATTAATGGACGGGCCCTTTAATACCAGTCAGCTAATAAGTAGTACCCGGCGCCTCCACCATGTGGCGACTTCTGGCAACTTAGTCTAATGGTGGAGGTGGGTGGCGCAATAAAAAACTGGTAGAACTCCTCAGTCTTGATATATTTTCAATAAGTATTACATTTAATCACTTACAATAATATTATGCTACGATGCTCACCCTAAGCTGGTCTCCATCAGAAAGAAAGACTATTCACCAGCAAAACACGAACACGCGAATTCGAATATAAAAAAGTAATAATTTAAAATATTAACAGCCAGCACTTGACCATAAACCGTCCGAAGAGTAAACCCTACCTATAGCAATGTGCTCGGACGTTACAGTAGCTTAAAAACAGAGTCGTTGATTCATCAGTTTCCATCGTATAGTAAATGTATGCATATCGATGTATTTGTTGTAGATATTAAATTATAGATATTTATATATAATTGTATAAGATACAGCCAGCCAGTTGCACAAACGTTCATTAAACTTTTCATTAGTTTAAAGCGACATTACCCATACAAATTTGACATTCATTAGTACTTAAAGGCGGCATTAAATCTTAATGGACGTTTGTGCAACTGACCATTAAACAATTAAAACTTAGTTAAACCAGTCGAAAAACTGCAGTTGGCATACTATACAACTCTTTTCGTTTAACATTTCTCAAAAGTTATCGAAGTGTTATCTGTTTGCTGAGACAATTAACGTCATTGTTTAATTAAAAAGTAAGATATCGCTCATTCAATATCTTTCAAAAAATGCTGTCACTTATCAAGAAGCGCAAGAAACTTATCAGCCCTCAAGAACAGTAACGATATTTACATAAAACACATCATTACAGACAGACAACAACATAGACATTGCTCAGATTACAAGACCATAACTAACGCCCTCGTATAAGGCCTTATAGAATATCCGACACAACGGAGGTGCCTCAACACCCAGACCCGAGACACCTTGAAACCGACCTGCGAAGCACTCGGCTACGGAGTTTGCCGGACAATATAATTGAAAAAAATATATAAAAAGCACTTTCGACCATATAATGCAGAATCGAAAAATATAACTGCCGCGGATCACATTTATTACGACGATGCTCCCAATATTTAAAAGGAAATGTCTGTACTTTGAGTGTACAAATGATACTTAATAGTTTTCTTATAGTGGACACCAATGTACTGTAAACAGCGCGTCATAATAAAGCTTAATACATTTGGAAGGTAGAGTTAAAAATTAGGCACATTGTGAAAGTTCAAAATCAAAATCCTGCAGTGTCATTGTATTATAAAAACAACCTAAACCTCAACGACGAAAGGCTAGAAAACATGTTTAGATTTTTTTTTAATACTTATTATATGGCTTTTTAATTAATTAAACACTAACCAGTATTGTTTTCCAACATAGTAGAATACCCTAATTATTGCAGTGAACTAATATTATATCTAGAACAAGTTTTACTAATTACGCTATTACCTAATAATTGTTATCTAATAAGGTTAATTGTAATATAATGCCATATTGTGTTATATATAGATATTTTAATAGAATATTGATTGGTTGAGTAATTATTGCGTCCAATTGTAATTATAAAACATGAATACTTTTCTAAATTGCAAGCCTGTGCATTAAGCTTAATATCGAAATAAATACGCACATCCTATTTTGACATAGTAATTGAAATATGTCTAATAATCTTACAGTATTATTAATAAACAAGTTTTAGGGTCAGAGTAAGTTTACGCTAAAATTGAAATTTTTAGTATTAGTCCAAATTCATATTATATAGAGAATAAGCGAACCTACTACCTTCTAGGGGTAAATATTACTCCCGTAGAACCTCGTATTGGGTTACCCTTTGCTAAGTATTAGTTCAATAATATGAATTTTGTCTCAAACTTGTTTATTAAAAACAATACTAGAGAAGTATTATAAAAGAAAAGTTACAGTGAAATTGTCTTCTATTTAAAATCCTATTTTAAGGCAAGTTTTTTTATGGTTAATTAGGTTGTTAAATTACATATGATCTTGTCATGTGTTACTACTAATAAATGTATGTTAAATAACAGTGCAGTATGTACGTACGTTGACACATATTTTACTAGGGCACCGTGGCTCGTAGTGTCCCATTGTGCCACACATGTAGCACACGGGTGGTTTCATTCTGCAAGTGTCGTCCCGATGTCCCGAACGATTGCAGTATTGACATCTGAAAATATAAATAATATTTTTCATAGAAATATACCCAGCAAAGAGCATCATTGATCATCATATCAGCCTATCTGTACCCACTGCTGGGGTTCAGGCCTACCGTATGGACGGAATCGAAAAAGGAGAATGGGCCACTTGGGTCCAGTACGGATTGGTCGGTGTTAACGAGTACAGATGCAGCCGGGACCAACGGCTTAACGTGCCTGCCGAAGCACAGAGGAGCTCGAGATAATAAATTGTTGGTCACCCGTCATTTGTATGGGCGTTGCGAAATTTGTTTAACAACCGTATCGCAACTGCGCCATCGAGCTCCTCAATAAAGTTTGGTAGCATCTAGTGCCAATGGAGTAGAAAAAATAACACATTGGTTGGCATTAGTTAAGCAAATATCGCAAACGCCAGCAGTCAGATAGGTAACAAAAAAAAATTATCGCAAGTAGGGCACTTTAAATTGTTGATTCCGACTGCATTTATTGCAATCAGAATCAACAATTTAATTCCGACAACCGTAAGCACACGCACTAGGAATATAGCATTTTACAGCCAGCATTAATGTGATGATGACACTAAATTTATCTTTAAATGAAAGCTGAAGTGTATATGACATTACATAAAAGTATCAAAGAAAGCATACTTATGTTTCAACATATCATTAGTTAGCACACACTAGGAATATAGCATGTTACAGCCAGCATTAATGTGATGATGACACTAAATTAATCTTTAAATGAAACCGGAAGTCTCTATGACATTATATAAAAAGTATCAAAGAAAGTATACTTATGTTTCAACATATCATTACTATCTAAATTACAAGAATAATAAGATGATAAAGTTTATAGTAGCCCCTTGTCCAGTTTTTACAAAATGTCCCATATTACAAAGGCTCTGTAATGAATATATGAACTAAATTATGCTTCATATTTTTAACAAAGTATATCACCAAACACTGTTCATATCTAAATAGAGAAACTAATTTGTCCCAATCTACAACAAAGATGGTTATTTTGCCCTCAAGAGATTTAGTCATATTCAACTGTAAAAAACACTTATCCATTTTACTTATACAGTATATAGAATGTATTCCTAATTATCTAAAAGTGCTAAGAGTAAGTTCTATCACTGATATGAATTATGCAATAAATATTACTATATTTATAGAGATTAAAAAAGTGAGGTTTAAACAAATATATATTATACTTACGTTACTTTTCTCTTAGAAAGTGCAGGTATTTTATCTTTAGGATCAATTACCCACAAACTCTTGTCACCTGTAATCAACAGAAACCTTTTGTAAGCTAAACAAAACATGTTCTTTGCATATTGAAAACATATTTTTATACAGGCAATACTGCCCTGCTAATTGCAATTGCAGTAATCAACACTTTGGGGATTATATGCAGATACCGTTTAAGTTAAGGAAAAAATATGTTGATAGAAAGCATGCCTGTTTTCTTATTTTTTAGGAACAATTTATATGTTATATAACATCGACTTGTTGTTTAATGATCAAAAAATATGTTTCCCGCGTTTATCTTTAAACCGCCATTTTGCAATTACTGCGTTTGCAATAAGAAGGGCAGAATAGATGTTACACTTACGTGACATATATTTCTGTATTTCACGGTGATTAAAATTTTCTCCGCCCCAGCTCTCATTATAGAACTTCTCCATTTCAGCTCTTAGATTTGTTAAAGAATATTTTCTCGTTTTGCAAACGTTATCTTTGCCTTTAAGATTGCCAAAATCAAGATTTTCCAACAATATCTGTGGCACCTTAGTCGAGCCTAATATTGGTGCATTATTACTGTTAACAACTGGCTCATCTCCATAATCTGTTGATTCTTGAAATCCACTAACATTTGCCATAGAAATATCTTCAGTTATATGTGTGCTATCCAAGGTAATATAATTGTCGCTGTCAGTCAAATCAACAATCGAACTGTCCAACTTATTTTGTGTTTCTTTGCAAACATTTTTTTTAGAATTTTTATCTGACTCTACTACCTGTATGTCCAGAGAGATGAAACTATCAGAACTATCCACAACATTTTCAATTTCAGCTGTTTTTGTTTTATTACGAGGCTCCGGTTGGCTTGAATCAGATTCATATACATCAGTATTAGGTAAACTTTTCTCTGTTACTGAATAAGCAATTTGGTTCTTGTTTGTATCTATTCCAGACTGGTTACTGTCTGAATCATAAACATCAGCACTAGGAATACTCATCTTTGAAACAATATAAGATTTTGATTTCTGTTTCTTCTTTTTGGCTTTACTTTTTGGTGTGGCAAAACATGCGTCAGGTGGCAGGCATGTTGTTTTTATCTGTGCTGTAGGAATAGGTGTAGATGTTGCAGATTCTTTCGATTTCTTCTTTCTCTTTTTTTTGCTTGGTGTAACTTGTCCAAGTAAGTCTAATCCATGAAGGCTAAAGTCAAAGCTGTGGTTTTCATGACTTTTTGATGAAATATTCAATGCGATACAATCCCCTCTAATGAATTCATCTGATACAGAGGACACAACAGATGGTACAGGACTAGCTGAGACTCCTCGTTGATCAGTAACTAATGTAGTGTTATCAGCAACAGCTTGAGGTTTACTTCCATTTTGATTGTTAGTTTTGTTACCTTGTTTAGAAACAATGCATACTTCGTCTTCATCAGAGCTCCCTATGGTAATGGTCGGTTTAGGAGGTAACTCAACTTCAATAACCTCATCCTCGTCACTAGATTCAAGCACAACACTTTGGACATTCTCTGATGGCAATATTTCAATTGTTTTCTTAACATTCTGTGGTGGTGATTGGAATAAAGACAGATCTATGGTTGGCACTGTTTCTTCAGTACCACATTTTTCTTCTTTAGGTTCTTGGTATGGATTTGAAATACTGTTATTTGTGTTTTTTGTTGTTAAATTCTTATTAACAGTGGATGAAACATTTTCTTTAGGAGAGTTTATCTTTTGGAATTGCGTGGGCTGGTCACCACTAGTGCGCCAGTAACGACGAAAGGTACTACGAGGAACATTTTCCACGATCTTCAAAGTTTCATTTTGATTTGTAATATTTGTATTTGCCTGTGTTTCATCTACATGATGTAGCATAGCATACAACCTCTCCTCTAACTCATGCTCGTTAGGCTCCTACAAAAAACATAAGGTTGAGAAAATACTATGCAATATAAAATACCACGCAATGCACATTATTGTGACACAACAAAACTTAGTGAGTAACCTAGAGCTTACCTCGTCCATGGTTCTGAAGTAAATGTAAACAAAGTAGACTTTTACACGAAATTAACATAATAGTAACTGGTATTCGAACCGATTCTAATGTGTTAAAAACATTATGAGTAACTAAAATGGGACTAATTGTAATATTTTAAGGACACGTTCAACACTGCATGTCGAAAACTAAACTGACTGACAATGACAATGACGAATGATAGTGATAGCACAGCAGTGGTGCCAACTTTATAAAAGGTATCTTGAGTAAGGAGGGGACGGCAGTCTAAACTAGTCAAAACTGAGTCACAGTGAAAAAAAAGAAAGCACTCAAAAAGAACCTCACTAGATGGCGACCCTAGCAAAAGTTTATTTTTGCAGGAAACGAATGAACCAAGATAATCATTTCCGTTCCTTTTAAGTAACATATAAAAAAACTGAAATTCGCAAAGTTCGAATCTTAGATATCAATACAAATATGAAAGAGTACAAATAGAATATGAGTTTTTTATTGAGTTTTGATAATTATTTACTTTTATACATGAAAGAAAACCGGAAGGATTGTTATAGAGAAATCAAAAACCTATTTCAGGAACAAATGTTTTTTTTAATACTTCCTGATTAAGCACTGGTTGAGTGTACTCGACACTTAAGGAGTTGGGTTGTATTAAAATTACACATCATTTTTATGATGTTTTTGTTGGTTTTGATTGTTATTGTTAATTTTTGTTACAACTTGTTTTGGTTGACTAAAATAGCAACTGCTATTATGATTTTCACAATAAATAAACATAATTTCACTTATATAAATATCTAATGTTTCTCATGTCATTATTACTTTTGGTTATGTTTGAAAAAATATCCTTTCCATTTGTTATCGCGTTATTAATAAGCAAATATATATCTTTTTATATTCCATATACTTCAATGTTTACATATAAATTGATTCTTTTCCTTAAATTCATGAAACCATTTATCTATTGCCTTTTGTATGTGGTATTATTTAGACAATGTTCCAGCGCAAAAAAATTGGTCGGTTTTCTCCTTTAATTTAAAAGCAATAAGATATATGCTAAGGGAATTATTTTTTAAACAGCTAATTCTTGTCAATTTGCTGCCATTTTAGCTCTTTTTCTTGCTGACATGCAACATGTGCTATCACATTTTCAAAAGTAACTCACTTTTTGAAAATGTGATAGCGCATCACATCCAGCCCAGTGAATAGAGTTAGCACAATGGAGCGGGTAGCGCATGCGAAGTTGCACCCATTTGATTTATCTATAGTTAAGAGTTTGGAAATATTTGTGTGAAAATACAGCTATGCCTTCAATTAAAAAACTTTGAATCTAAACGCAATAAGTCACGGATTCTGACTTATTTCGTTTACTGCCCACTTTTAGAATAAAATAGTTTTTGGCGTCTTGTGCATTTTTGCGTTATTTTGAGCTATATCAGCAGAGATTAAACATTCATTCTAAACGAGAATTTTACTATAACCCTTGTTAATTTGAGATCTGAGTAGAGTGGGTAGTATACAAGTCTCTTATTATCCATTCCTAAGCCTCTACTCAATGGCCCCATTTATTTTTCTGACTCTCGTACTGCCCCCATTTAGGCCTGCAGCGTTGGTGCCTATTTTGGGAAAGGCTGCAATAGATAAACCGAAGTCAGTATTGATAATAATTATATCGATAATATAATAATTCCGAAATGTCGACACAACATCCCTAAGCAATTTTTAACGTCATCACGTTTGATTGAGTTGGTTTTTTAATTTTTATTTGATAAAAGTAGGGAAAAACAATGTCAATACCTACCTACTTGTTGATTAAATTCTGTAATAGTTATTGAAATGTATCATTATAGTTCATGAAGTGTATTTAAAATTGTGTACTACATTCGTATTTAAAATGAAATATTCGCATAGTTTCACAGACGCATATTTTTTATTAGTGGTTTTATTATTTTCATTATTGCATAATTTAGATGCTCGCAGGGTAAATAAATAATTGTATAATACATATTTTCTAAATTAAAGAAGTTACCAATTTTATTTGCCTACTATGTTTTCAGGTTCAATACCGCGACGGAGGCTACTATGGAAATAATTATTACTCCCACATAGGTTTGGATACAATGGTTAATACAGCCATAGAAAAACTTGACCAATGTAAGCAAATTGAATCTATTAGTGCGTTTATGAGATTAACATTGACAAATTATTAATAATTTCTTGCCTCAATATGGAAGAGACAATTTAATAAAATTTTAATTGTTTTTCTTCATGAATAGCACTGCAGTGGGTTAAAGACTGGCCAGATCCGGTAAAATTGGGACAAGTGTCTGGAGTAGCCTTAGATGGAGCAGGTCATGTTGTGGTGTTTCATCGAGCCACTAATGTTTGGGATGCAACAACATTTTCTGATAGGAATGTATACCAGTCTATAGGTGAACCCCCTATATCACAACCAACCATTCTTGTTTTCAATGAGACAGGAGAACTTGTTGATACATGGGGAAAGAACCTGTGAGTAATAAACTTGCATAAACTGTATGTTTACTATAGAATATTTTAATTACTTTTTGTTTCCACGCATGCTAAACATTAAAGTGACAAATCTGACAACCAACACCTCACTTCAGTGTTAAAAACTGAAATCAATAAATGTACAAATTATTGAATTTAATTATTTACTAATTTCTTCAGATCGAACCAAGTGAATTTAAATTCTGCTCATTTCTGAAATTGAAAAGACTATTGGTTAGTCAGTAGTCTGATAGAGATATACAGCCAGTTGCACAAACCACCATTAAATTTTCAATAGTTTAAAGCAACATTACTGATACAAATTTGACATACATTAGAGCTCATCAATGCACCATATAACCTTAATGGACATTTGTGCAACTACTCAATGATGATATATATGTATAATATTACCATATGAATGTGACTTATTAGGTTTTGTCATACTGATAATAATATGGAAATAAATAAAAAATAAGAAGTGCCAAAAAAATTATGCTAAGTCCCAGCACACTGCATGATGAACTCAAGAGATTCAATGAACTCATGCCATATATTATATGCATCTCAAAACTGATTTTTTTTTCTTTATACCTACCTAAAAATGTTTCTTGAGTTCATGCTACATTTACAGAGCCAAAAGAAAATATTCCCAAAGAAAAAAGGAAGTAAAGAAGCACTTACAAAAAAAGTTTGATAGAAATACTAGGCCCAATTAACTTGAACAAAACATGTGTAATATTAATATGCTAATGGCCCCCTTTTTTTCAGTTTCTATATACCACATGGAATCACCATAGATGGTAATGGTAATGTGTGGGTAACAGACGTAGCTCTGCATCAAGTGTTTAAATTCACTCCTAACCAGAAAGACAAACCAGCACTTATGTTAGGTGAAAAGTAAGTTGAAACAAATCAAATCAAATCAAGCCTTACTAAGCACTTGCTTAATTAAGCAATGTTTATGTATGTTTTGCATGCTTCCATTCTTCTTTTTTTTTATGGCCTATTAGTGTTTACAAAAATCCGCCAATAGCCTTAACACGTACAGATACAATAACATAAATATATATTTTGAGATAATTTATCAAGAAAAATTATACATGGTCTTATATTTACATGAGCAAGTCATCATTGTCCATATTTAAAAAATCTGAAAATTCAATAAATCTCATTGTTAATTTCTTTATTCTATTATATAAACTCATTAATTCCAACTTACTTAATTAATTTTATCTCTGAACAATTTTCACCCTAAACAATGCTCAAATATTTAGATGTCTCATACAACTGAATGTGCGTGTCATTATACACACATACAGTGGTTTCTTTTTTTTTGTATTTTCACACTCGCCTTTACCACTGTGCTAGTGAACTACGTACACTATATGTAAAAGAGCATTGATAAAAGATAATATTATTGGAACTTAAAGTTGCCTCCTATTATAGATTGTAAATAAATGATAAAATTTCAGGTTTATACCTGGGAATGACGATAAACACTTCTGTAAGCCAACTTCAGTAGCTGTTATGGCCAATGGGGATTTTTTCGTCGCAGATGGATATTGCAATCACAGGATACTGAAGTTCTCTTCTCAAGGGGAGATCATTTTACAGTGGGGCAAAGGTATGTATAATTATAATATTATTGACAAATGGTATATGATATTTCTCAAATTAGTAAAAGTATTTGATTAACTGTGGGATACAAGTGAAGATTTGTTTGATTGATTAAAAATAATTCATCACATCACTCATATGTCCACCAATCAGAATGCCTTAAATTACGTGGTAACCGCTTGATCCGCGCGCCTATCTCGCTAAGTGTGCGTGGGACAAACTCCCAATGCGTTTTATTTTTCACCTTATAGTAATTTAAACAAGATTCATTATTTTTATTTCGTCGGAATCGAAAGATTCATCATGCTCCATAGAAAATAGGTCTTGCTTTACTACAATTGAAGTTTAGTACTATTGTACGAATTAACATTTCACCTGAAGGCCTATTCTATTTTTCCATAACTACGATGCACACATAATCTTCACGGTTATGATTCTAACAAAATGTTCATTCGAGGACAAATAGAATAGGCCCTCGGGATCCTAACAATGAGCTGTTATAGCCACAGAACACAGAAAGACGTTAGAAGGGCCTTGTGGGCGTGGCAGTGCAGCCACGATCCTAGACAAATGTACAGGATCGTGACTTCACCACGCGATCGCGATGTTTAGTCATTCACGAACGCGCGCGCTGTAAGTACTGTGAAACACGCCGCTAAAAGTGTTAAAAATGCCGACTTTCGCAGTTATTAATTGCAAAACAAGAAGCCCATCCTCAAGTTGGTCCAAAGGAAGGATTTCTTTCCATTATTAAGTAGAACACTTCTCAAATTTAGTATTTTTAGTCGAAAATCGTGAAATGTTATCAAAAGTGTGAATCACAAAAAATATTCCCAAGAAAATATACATTGCTGGAGAAGTGCGCATATTTATTACATTGCGTCGTACTAAGCACGTAATGTAATGAATATCGCGAAATTACCGTTTTAAATAACAACATAATAGATTACGGTAGATGGGTAGTGAAGTGCCTGGAAACATGTAATCGATTCTTGGTATGTTAGGTAGTAAAAACTAAATAAAAGTATGGACAATAAAAATAAAAAATAAATTTTATCATAGATTAACCATATTGACTTCGTTTGGAATGCGTTTGTATATTAATTTAATAATGAGTGTGGTAATAAGTCTGTTTTTTATATTCTTAATATTGAAACAGAAAACTAGTTTTTTTATTTTTTATTTTGAACCATTAACAACAATACTTTTTAAATCATCGGAGTCTGTTCAGGATAAGTTCCAAGAGCATTTATTGTACTGATAGTATTTTTTTATTTTGTATATATTTATTTACATTATATTGTTTGTCAATATTACAAGTTTCATTTAAGCGATGTTGCCGATCTTATCTGTTTACTTGATACGAAATCGAGTAACGTAAAAAAAACCTACTATTATTATTAATAATTATATGCATATATTTAAGCTCGACTAGTACCGATTCAATGTTAGTTCATTAGTAATTTAAATATTTCTTATTGAATCAACCAACTAATTAAGAATTTATATCTAAAGAAAATAATCCAATGTATATCCAATATAATATAAAGAAATCATTAATCTAGTATCCTTTCAATTAATCGACTTGTTGTTTTTCAATATCGATAGTAAATAACTTTATGTCAATCACTAGTGTGATATGTCACTATAGATGTCTGTTATGGTTGAGCGTGATTGGTTATAGTTATATTGGAGCGTTCTGATTGGCATGTTTAAAATACAAGTGTGTGCATATCTTTTGTATAATTGGTCTAATTATTCGTCTGATGTACGGCGGACTAAAAGTGGGGCAAGACTGGCTACATCGGTTTTCGTACAAAGGATGCATGATCGCCTTTCTAACCTCTTTTCCGTGTTCTGTGGTTATAGCAATGCTTAATCCGTGCAGCGAGCCGGACAGCGCCTTACGGTATAATAGCAGTGTCCCATTATATAATATTACTATAAGAGCTAATGGTTTTATTTGTCCTCGAATGCAAATTGTTTTTTGAATCATAATTGGATGTAGTTACTCAAAAAGAATCTAACCTACAAATTATTATAAATATACCAAAATGTCGATCAGGATCTATACTTTCACATAGGAAAAAAGCTCTGAGCTGTATTAAATATTTGACTTTTCTTTCAATGGTAGTTACCATCCCACATCTTTGGTAGGTTCATATTTTAGTTCCATGAAAATGACTCAAGCTTCTTGGATCCATATAGTAAAATAGCAAATTAAAGCTTAAAAATAATAAAATAATACAATAAAAGTTAAAATGCTTGAATGAATTTTTGTTAAAAAGTAATTTTATTTAAAGGTGTAGGAAGGTAATTTTAAATAGTGAGAATACGAGGGGTGTTCAAAAAGTAGTGAGAATGGCTATATTAGAGAGAATTAATATATTTAATTTTTTTTTTTAATTTTTCGACGTTAACACCATTTAGGTCAATACATTTAGCAAATCATTTTTTTAGAGCCTAAATTCCCTTTTTGAAAAAATCTTCATCTTGAGTACTTAAAAAATCGTTTACCTTCACTTCTTCGTCATCTTCAAATTTTGTGCCCCTCAAGTGTTCTTTCAAATGCGGAAATAAGTAGAAATCACTAGGGGCTAAGTCCGGTGAATATGGCGGATGATCGAGGATCTCAAAGCCAGCATCTTGGATTGCTGCCATGGCAGTTGCAGACTTGTGGGCTGGTGCGTTGTCTTGATGGAACAAAACTTTTTTCGTGACTTTTCCTCGTCTGTTTTTATGGTTTTCCTGACGCAATTTTTTTATTTGTTCTGCGTAGACCTTTCCTGTGATAGGACTCCATGTTGAAGGTATTTAATCATTATCAACCCCTGGCTGTCCCAAAAAACTGAACCCATGATCTTGCCGGCGGATGGTTGACTTTTGAATTTCTTTGGTGTGGGAGATGTCGGTCTTTGCCAAGACATTGGTTTTTTTAATTTCTGTATCATTAATGATGAAGCCATGTTTCATCCATGGTTACGAATCGAGCCAAAAAAAGATCAGAATCTCATTGAAACAGTTTCAATGAGCTCTTTGAAATGTTGAGACGCGTTTGATTTTGTGCGTCCGTTAGCATTCTCGGCACCCAACGCGCGGGTACCTTTTTCATTCCTAAGTGATATTGCAAAATGCTTTGCACACTACCACTTGAAATCTCCAACTCTTCAGCTATAAAACGGATCGGCGATCATCCAGAACAATTTTTTCAACTTTCTCGCCCATTTCCTGAGTGACTGACGTTGAAGGGCGGCTCGAGCGCGGATCATCTTTAACCGATGTCCTACTACGTTTAAACTCTGCACACCACCTAGCCACTGTGGGATATGGAGAAGCAGACTCCCCCAATGTCTTTAAAAATTTGTTCCGTAGTAAAATTTTTTAAGCACGGATTTCAATTTTATCCATTTTTTTGCTAGAGTTAACGACGCGTCACAAACAAATAATTAATACAACTGACACAAATAAGATAGAAACCTAATTATTTGAGGGTATTATAACAAAGGCCTAATCTTTCCGTGACCATATTTTTTTTTCAAGTACGCTCCATTACTACGTCATTCTCACTACTTTTTGAATACCCCTCGTACATTTGATTAAAAATTAAAACAATAAATATAAAGAGCCTTTAATAAGTAGTTTTTACGATTAAATTTTAGCGTTTCAGTTAATTATTCTATTATATCTTCATTTGGATCGTTTTCGAGATTTGTTTTGTAAGAATAAGGTAATTAAAATCTAAATATATCAAAAAGGATCCAAACATACTTTAACCTTTATATTTTAATTGTTAGTTCTGTTAAAATGACATTACTATAAGATAATGTAGGTGGTTTTCTATGCTATTACATAAAAATATAATACACAAATATGTTACATAAACGTGCAAATACAGCTTAATCTATATATATCTCAAAAGTGACATTGTGTGGGATGGATCCTTTTTGATTAACCACGTCCAATTGTCCGTGTATCCCCCTGGTGCCATGTCGATTCATACGAGCTATATGCGTTTGTATAGCGCACGGGCACGATCACTTCTCGTTGAACGTGCCGCACGCGTTGGCGCTAGCACAGGAGCGCGGCGCTCTCTGCGTGGCGGACCGCGAGCGCGGCCGCGTGGCGTGCTTCCGCGCGGACAACGGCACCTACATGCACTCCTACACGCACGAGCTGATCGGCTCCAGGCTCTTCAGCGTCGCGTACTCTCCTGCACAAGGTCAGTCGCCTACGTTACGCGCAAGGGCGGATCCGGGGGGGTGTGGTCACGGGGATTATGACAACCAGACTAGGTCTAGGAATTAGGTGCAGTGCTTATTAAAATTGTTAGACATACGGTCAGTTGCACAAACGTCCATTAAGGTTAAATGACGTCTTTAATTTCTAATGTTTGTCAAATTTGTTTGGGTAACGTCACTTTAAGTAAACTAATGTTTAATTTTAATGGACGTTTGGGCAACTGGCTGATAATGTTTATCCCTTTATAGGTTTTATTTTATCTCAAAATTGTATTAATTTAAGACTAACTATTATCAAAATTGACTTGTTATGACTTGACCACGGCTATGTGACCGCAAAACTGGATTCGCCCTTGGTTACGCGCTACATCTCGGTATTTAAGTTATTACGAGTGAAAATTTAAAAATATGCCATTGAGATAGCTTAGGCAATAATCAATCTGAAAATGTTAATTTCAGTTCATAACATAAATAAAATAATTTTTAATATTCAAATCAAAGTAAATAATTTACGAAATCATAGACTTTCATGGGCATTCTGCATACAGAATATGAAATAACAGTTTATTGATAAAAGATAAAGTGTCAAAATAGAGTTCAGTGGAAATCATCGATATTGACCTTTCGAAATTGCGATCCATTGATATAAAATACGAACTGATTTTGGGTACTATTTTAGGTTAGGTTAGGTTATTTTGGTTAGAAAATGGACCTGTTGGAAATGTTCTACTGCGCTCAGTTCAACTTATAAGCTGCGATGTCCAATATACTGTTTTTATTCGAACAGGTGGTCGACTTTACGTCGTTAATGGACCGTACAGTACCATACCAGTGCCGGTG